AATCTTGCACCAGAGCCCTTTGTTCCTTAGCTCCGCCACTGACTAGGACAAATAGAGAGAGCGAATCTCCCTAAAGGGGACACAGACAGCAATACAAATCTGACCCATGTCCTAACCCCTCTCCACCCTATCTAAAAAAAAAAAAAAAGTTCTGGCTTCAGTTGCACTTTAACCACCTGCTGTCCGGTGGTTGTAATTAGTCGGCCGGGCAGCGGATTCTTGAATGCGGGTGGGTGTTTTTAATGTCCTTTCCCACCCCACAGTTGACGTGTTTGAAATGTAAAGAGCCAGCAATGGCTGTTTACATACAAGCGTTCAAGACGGCCAATCGTTTGTATTATGCTTGCGAGTGTGCTCCCCGCTGGCGGTGCTTATCCTGAGCTCCGCCGTGCCAGGTGCGGGCCGGGATCGGCACGGTGGCTCTGTCACTGGAGATCAGAGGGAGATCAGTACACGTTCTCCCTCTGATCTTCTTTCCGGTCTCTGAACGCAGGAAGTGATGTATATTACATCACTTACGCATTCAGCTGTCATTCCCGGCTATAGAAGGCGGAGAGAAGCTGGTGAAGCAGGTCTCTGCTTCATCACCTTCTCTGGGGGTCCCTAGGTGACATTAGGGGTCTTAAAGACCCCTGATGTCTCCATAAAGAGGGCCTGTCACTGTAAATTGGCTATCACACAGGGGGCTTGTTAATGCATTGCATGCATTAATATGCATTTTGAAGTCTCCTATAAATACATTCAAATGTAAATAATGGCGTGTATGTCATTACCTATGTGATTGAGGCCTAAGATGACCTAAGCCAGAGATCCCATTGGCGCTTTTCTCAGCAGGGTCTATCCATTATCATCCTTTGACCAGCTTAGTTTCCATTACCAACATTTGTAATAGGTTTGCTATAAAGAAATATTAAAGACAAACACATCTCTTGGTGGATATACAGTATCTCTTTCCCTATAATGAATACGGAGACAAACAAGGAACTTGGTAGAGATACTGTACGTCTGTCCAGCAATATGAACTAAATAATCTGCAATGAATGAAAAATAGATCCCTGTAATTGTGTTTGCACAATAATGGAATAGTAGGATACACGACTATGTTTGATTAACAACCGAACCTACTATATAATGCCGTGCAGGAAATATATTAAGTGGTTTTAAATGTACGTCAATCTATTTTTGTGCAAATACATTTAAAGAGATCTATTTTCCATTCACTGTGAGACTTATGCAAGGTAATGTTTTTATATTACAGGTCATCTTTTGGACCAGAAATTAAAGAGATCCGAATCTCTTCCCGCATCAAGGTCTCGCATCATCACCGCTCATGACGGAAGGAGTAGCTTTCGTGGAGGCAGCTTCTTTTCAAGCCGAACCTTGGCCAGTAAGTATTTAGAGAAATTGAAAATCCAATCTCTATTTTAAATAGACCCAAGAGAGTGTGCTGGTAGGTGGAGAGAGGGCAATGTGCTGCTGCCACTTCATTATTTAGTCACAGACTGAGGTGGAACCTTGACCAAGCCATTTAGGTTTAACTGCAGTGGACAGAAGTGGGGTCAGGGGACCTGGCTGAGCTCTCTAACTGGGGTAAATGAATCTCAGGACTGGCTAAGCAGAATTAAAAATGCATTTTCAGGTAAAACAATTCACTCCTTTTTATGTAAACCAGAACTCTGGGCAAATCAAATCTTAACCCTTGCAGTGGGGCTACCACATCCTATACAGTGTGCTGGAGGGAGCGGTGTAAGAGCAAGCCAGGATTGTGATTCTGGTGAGTAGAACTTTTTTATTTTATCTCCCTTGGCAAAACGAGCGCTTAACATTTGCAGTTTGGGGGGTGTTAGCATCACTGCAAGGGGTAAGATTTTATTTGCCCAGAGTTCTACTTTAAAGTGTGGATTTAGAGCTTAAAGGAGAACTATGAGGTGAGTGCTTTTCACTCACCTCATAGTTCTAGCCGATTTAAAAGCTTACGTGCAGCGTTTGTCCTCTCTATAAATAATTTTTAATTTACTTGCAATGTGTCTTTGAAAAGTAGAATAGTCAACTCCTTAGTACAGCCCCCTCCCTCCTTGCATGTCATAGCCCTCTCTTCTGGAGGTGACTA